GGAAGGATGAAGGATGAAGACTTGCTACATTGTAGATGAACCTGCTCTGTCTGCAATGGCTTTTTGCAAAGCATGTCCTGAAAACAAAGCCTGTGGGTACAGGAAACAGCACCTAGTCCAGGACAGAGTGGGAAGCCAGAAGCCATAATCGTCACTTGTAATAGGGGAGTCAGAGGGAGAAGTAGCTTTTCCTTCGTCCACACTGCCTGAATCCTTCACTTCTTGATTTTATGTATTTATTTGGAGCTGGTGGATTTGCCATCAGGTCTGACAGCCTGAGTTCCATGCCCAGGACCCACGTGGTGGTGAGAACTGACCCCCACAAGTTATCCTCTAACCTCCTTCGTCCACACTGCCTGAATCCTTCACTTCTTGATTTTATGTATTTATTTGGAGCTGGTGGATTTGCCATCAGGTCTGACAGCCTGAATTCCATGCCCAGGACCCACGTGGTGGTGAGAACTGACCCCCACAGGTTATCCTCTAACTTCCACATGTGTGCTGTACACACACATACACTAAATTGTTTAGAGGAACTTTTTAATACTATGTGTGTGAGAGAAATTGCAGGTGTTCAGGAGCCATGGCACTTGGGGAGGTCAGAGGTCAACTTTCAGGAGTTGGTTCTCACCTTTCACCTTGTTTTGAAGCTGGGTCTCTTTATTTCCACCAATGCCACATACTCCAGGCCAGCAGCTAATGAGGCCGAGGGCTTCTGACCCATTTTCCTGTTGCTGTCTCTTGTAGGTGTGCTGTGATTACTGATATATACAACCACATCTAGCTTTTTTTTAGATATATTCTGGGGGCTCAAACAGGTTACCAAGCTTTTGTGGTGAGCACTTTTAACCTGCTGAGTTGTCACCTTAGCCATTTCCCTTTGTTTACAGTACTTGGGACTGAAAATAGGACCTCACACCTCCACCTCCTTTTTACTTGTATTTTTGTTTTCATTTTTGAGATGGTTTTTGGCCACCACATCGGTGCTGAGATTTGAACCCCAGTCTTCTGCAAGAGCACCCACAGTTCTTAACCACTGAGCCATCCCTCCAGCCCCCCAATTTTTTTTTTAATTTATAATTTTTTTTATTCTTGAGACGGTCTCCTATAGCCCCGGCTAGCCTGGAACTCGCCATGTAGACCAGGCTGGCCTCAATCTCACAGAGATTCTTCTGCCTCTGCCTCCTAAGTACTGGGACTAAAGATGTGTACCATACTCAGCTAATCCAAAAACTTTTTTGGTCTTTTTGTGACAGAGTCCCCCCTACAGCCCCAGCTAGCCTGGAACTCACTGTGTAGCCCAGAGTTCAGTCCCCCTGCCTCAGCCTCCTGAGTGCTGGGGTCACAGGTCTGAGCTGCCTGGCTCTCCCTTCTCTCTTGAACTTGGAAGCTGTCAGCGTGACTGACCGCTCTCCATACAGGTCTCTGAGGCTGGCTCTATGTGTGCTTACCATCTTCTCTACCTCCCTACCCCCCAGAGTGCCGCCCCAGCCTGGGCTGCCGGGAACTGGTCTTCAGGAACCTCTCCAAGGTGCTTCCTGCCATCTGTCGCGACATCACTGACTGGGTGGTGGGGACCCGGGTGAAGGCAGCACAGCTGCTGCCTGTGCTACTGCTGCATGCAGAGGACCACATCACGCAGCACCTGGAAATCATCCTCAGAACCCTGAAGCAGGCATGCACCGATGAGGAGAAAGCTGTGGTCAGCAGTGTGAGTGTCTACCTCACATCCTTTCACAGGTGGCAGAGCTCAGCCCTGCTGTGTCAGCTATGTGGGCCCTGGGACAGTGAGGACATGGGCACCTCTGCCTCCAGCTGTGACTACCCTTCCCTGAGTTCAGCCACTGGCCTGGCACGGGTTGTACATGTGGGGCAAGCTTTGTTGAACCCTCAAGTACACAGGGCTGTGTGCAGTTCAAGCCTGTGTACTGCTGCCTGAGCCCTGCAGTGATCTGATTCCAAGGACCAGGTTGTCAGCAGAGCCACTTGTCTTGGGAGACCAGTTTCCCCAGCCCAGGCACCCAGTTTCTACACAGAACTTTGTGTATATATGTGTCTGTGTACTGTGCATGCATGTGTGTTCATGCGTGGGAGTACATATGTGTGCAGGTGCATAGAGCCATAGTTGTCTTCCTTGAGTTCTTTCTTCTTTATTATCAAGGTAGGGTCTCTCTGAACCTAGAGCTCATTGATTCAGCTAGTCTTAGCCACCTCATCTCGGGAATCCTATCTCTGCCTCTGAAGTGCTGGGATCACAGGGGGCTGCCATGCCTGCCCAGCTTTTTCCTGGATTTGGGACATCTGAATTCTGGTCCTAAGGCCTGTTCAGCAAGTGTTTTATCCTTTGAGGCTTCTCTCCAGACCCCAGTATAAAACTTTCTCTTTTTTCCAGTGTTTTAAAGACAGGGTCTCCCTATAGCCCTAGCTGGCCTGGCTATGTAGACCAGGCTGGCCTTGAACTGAACTGTCGTGCCGCCGCCCCCCCACCCTGCCCCATGCTGTGATTAAAGGCGTGTGCCACCAAGTCTGACATCCCAGTATAAAATTTTTGAACTTCTGTTTTGCTCAGAATAAAAGTGACTTTCTATCTCCTGGTCCAGTTTTTGAAGGAGAGGGAGGGAATGGTGACAGGACCCCATAAAGATGCTGGGCCCTGGGCCTTCCATCTGTGTACAGCTCTCAGGCAGATGTAGGACTGTCCTGTGCTCTGGGCTCCTCACCTTCCTCTCCAGCCACACCTGGCCCTTTCTGGCAGCCCTCACTGCTGTCCAGCTCTGTATTATGTCACCTTGGTAATGTTTTATGAATGGAAATTGGCGTGGAGCCTGTGGGTCAGGCTTGTGACTGTGCATCTTCACCTTGGCCTTGTGGGGCCCAGGCTGTAGAGGCAATGTGCCTGTGTGTGAGTGAGAAGCTTGGGCTGCTGATGTCAAGCGAAGGGTGTGAGGCAGGAGAACTGCTGGGAGGCAGAGCTGGACACTACCTCAAAGTCCTGAGTGCCTTTTGCCTTAAAGTCGTTGTTAGACCCCACCCCTCCAACCCCGGAGATGGGAGGAGTCATGTTTCCCTGGGTCCTGCACACCATGCCCTCTGGCGGGTAGAAAGCAAGGCATGCCCAGGACAGATGGGAGCCCTGCTGTGGCAGGTGTTTTCAGAACCCCTTGCCTCCCCATCTTTCTTACAGTGTGTGAGAGCTGCAGAGCTCATCGGCACATTCGTCAGCCCCGAGGTATTCCTGAAACTTATCTTAGCCATGCTGAAGAAGGCGCCCTCCCCATCTGGACTCCTGGTCCTCGCTTCTGTCATTCGAGGTTGCCCAAGGGATACCCTCCAGCCACACATCAAGGTCATTGCCACAGAGCTGGCCCAGGAGCACATCTGCGAGGGGTCTGAGAATGTAAGTGGGTATCTAGAAGGGGCAGGCAGTAGGGCACCCTAGGGCTAGAGATGGGAGGCAGCCCTGCTGGCTGTTCCCTGAGTGTAACTACTGATGGTAGCCAGCTGGCAAGCAGCATCCCCAGGTGCTAGTGCCAGCAGCTCCTGTCCAATACTGTAGCCACCAGCCAAGGCAGCCATTTACATCCAGTTAAGATGCATCTTGCTAGTGCCAGCGGCTGCCTTGTTGGATGGCTTGGGACACCATCATTGCCCAGGAGAGTCCAGTTGGCTGTGCTGCTGTGGTGGACATGGGTAAGTGGCATAGCTCTGAGGGAAACCCTGGGTCCAACCCTAGAGACAAGGGACAGCCCCACTACATTGATCTTGATACAAACAGCACATTCTCTGTCAGCAGTGTCACTTAGCACTTAAGTCCTATGCTTGAAGCAACCGCCTATGACCTGACAAAACAGATCCTTTGCAGAGCTGCCTGGCTGTTGCCTTCATTCCCAGGATAATGCTAATTCTTTCTGCTAAGGACATGAGGGCTACTGTATTGGATGTGTTCAGCATTCCTCTACACGCGCCCCCCCCCATGTCCCCCACACCCCCACCCCTATCCTCGAGTGCCCTGGTCCTCCTGTCCCGAGCCTGGGTTCCACCTAGTGGCCAGCTGTCCTGCTCAGGCCTCTATACCCAGAGGTGACTCAACTCTGGCAAAGCTGGGCTGGAAGTCAGCAGTCAACCCTGGTTTCTCTTTCTCAAAGTCAGAGTTCATGGGTGTGGTGTCACAGATCTGTAATCCCAGCATTGGGGAGACTGGAGGATTGTAGATTCAGGACCAGCCTGGGCTACATAAACTACGAGAAAGAAAAGAAACCTGTAAGGCATTTCATTTCATTTTGCTTTGTTTTTGAGACGGTCTCATTGTAGCTCTAGCTGGCTAGAACTCCATATGTAAACCAGAATGGCCTCAAACTCACATAGATCCACCTTCCTCTGCCTCCCTAGTGCTAGGATTAAAGGCATTGTATTTTTAAACAATAATAAACACATAAAGCAGTTTCTAAAATTTGCAGTGAGGAGTAGAGCTATGGTCCCAGGAGTGGGGACAGGCCAGTGTTCACAGCATATCAGTGTTTCCCAGAACCCCTGGGTCACAGCTGCCAGTCAGCTGTGCATGTTCCCTGGAGTGGGTCTGAGAGTAACTGATTGCTATGCATAGACTTGAGAGAACATTTTACCTCTAAAACGTGTGGCTTGAACACTTGCACAGGTGTTTTCTATGTAGCTTATAAGCTTAAAGAGGAAAGATAAGGTGACCACTTGCTTGTTAGTATCAGTTACAGAGAGCTTGAATCTCCCGACCTTTCAGGCTCTGCTGAACTGAGGGAAAATTATTGGCTAGACTTCTAGGCAGAGGGAGCTTTTAAGATTTATTTGTAATTATGTATATACCTATGTATGGGATTATGAGTGCATTGCCCTCGGAGATCCAAAAGAGGGCATTGGATTACCCAGAATTGGAGTTACAGGTGGCGAGCTGCCTGATGTGGCTTCTGGGAACCGAACCAGGGCCCTACAAGAGCAGTGCATGCTCTTAACTGCTGAGTCATCTCTCCAGCCCAAGAGGAAGCTTTTGACAGAGCTTCACAGGGCAAAAGAATCAAGAGGCCCTTCTCCCAGTGTGCCAGTGTGTTCTGTCCCTAAGACCAGTGACTGTCACTAGAAACCCAGGACGAACATATCACTCCTTTCTTGGCAGACTTGAGTCTTTGACAGGAAAGGATGAAGGTGTTGGGTCTGGTCAAAGTTGTTACTTTGTTTCTAAGTCTGCTTCCCAACTTTCTTTTTGTGTCAAGTGCCTTGGGGGACACTTTGCATTTTTTATATCTATGAGAACAGGTTAAGAACCTCTTTAAGAACAAACTGAGGACCAGTGAGATTTCTAAGCAGGCACTTGCCCATATGGCCTGATGATCTGAGTTTGGTCTCTAGGACCCACATGATGGAAAGAGGAAAGCGACTCTGACAAGTTTTCCTCTGTCTTCAACTCATGATGTTGCACATACAAAAGACTTTGTGCTGGGTGTGGTGGTGTACACCTTTAATCCCAGCACTCGGGAGACAGGCAGGCAGATCTCTGTCAATTCAAGGCCAGCCTGGTCTACATAGTGAGTTCCAGGCCAGCTGGGGCTACAGGGAGACTGTGTCCCCCCCCCCAAAAGAAAATCAAAAATTAATTAAAAAAATAAACAAGAACGCAAGTGTTACAGGTGTTAGACTGTTCAGTGTTTAAAAGCATTTGCTACTCTTCCAGAGGACCCACGTTTGGTTCCCAGTGCCCACATCAGGCCACTCACAACTACCTGTAACTCCAGGACACCACTTTTCTGGCCTCTGAAGACATCTGTGCACACATACACATATATACACAGAAACATACACACACATAAATAAGATAAATCTTAAAAAAATAAAATTTGGGGGGCTGGAGAGATGGCTCAGCAGTTAAGAACACTGATTGTTCTTGCAGAAGACCTGGGTTCAAATCCCAGCACCCACATGGCAGTTAACAACTGTCCATGATTCCAGTTCCAGAGGATCCGACAGCCTCTCTGTCCTCTGTGGGCATTGCACAACATGGTGCACTTACCTACATGCAGGCATAACACTTGTACACATTAAATAAAATATTTAAAAATAATAAAAAAAAATAAAACTTGAAGCTGGGCTTGGTGGCACACACCTTTAATCCCAGCACTCAGGAGGCAGAAGCAGGCAAATCTCTGTGAGTTCCAGGCCAGCTGGGACTACAGGGAGATCCTGTCTCAAAGAAGACCAAAAAATAAAAGAAATAAATAAGTAAATAAATAAATAAGTAAAACTTGGGCCAAGCATGATAGCACAGGACTGTCAGCCTGGGAGCTGAATCAGGAGGATAACTTGGGAAGCTGAATCAGGAGGATAACAAATTCAGGTTCAGTCTGGGCTACCAAGTGAGTTCAAGGTCATCTTGCCTAATGTAGTGATACCCTCCCTCAACATGTCAAAGGCTAGGGATGTAGCTCAGGTAGAGCACCTGCCTAGAATCTCCCAGTGAGGGGTTGGGGTGCATGGTCAGCAGTAGAGTACATACATGCCTAGCATCCAGGAGGCCTTAGGTCCCAGCACTGCAGATAAGTAAATAATTAAATAAGTAAAATGAAAAAACTTGAAAGGCCTCTGTTAAAGCAGGAGTCTGTGTAGATTGTTTTGCACAGTGAGTCTGACTGGCCCAGGTATGTGAGGCAATACCACACCTGGAACTTAGAGGGAAACCTGATCTTGGTCTTTGGAGCAGGTGTAGTGACAGGTACTAAAGTAAGGAAAACAGTTTTGACCTGAGGATGACTCATTCAGTCCTGTCTAAAAACCAGCGCCAACAGCATCCTATCATTCATCCCTGCCTCTGCAGGAACAGAAAAGCCCTCCCATTTCATCTAGTGTATAGAGACTTTGCCATCTCAGAGCTGCTGGCCTTTCACCTCACTTCCCGTCAGTGGTGGGGGTGGGGGGAGCAGGACACTCACTGTCTTTGTTGGTTGGGGGTGGCAGTAGAATCCAAGGTTCTGCCCCTTCCTCAGTCATGTGGCTGGGCTTGGGGCAAAGCAAAACCGGGTCTGTGTATCCCTAGCTGGCCTTGATCTCATAGAGATCTGCATCTTGGCTGTTAGGATTAAAGGTGTGCACTACCACACTCAGCTACTTTTTCTTTTAATAAATCACATTTCTAAGTTGCCTGTAGCTGCCATTCCTGTATATTCTGTACTTTAGGGAGCTTGTAAATTGTGGTAGATGGACAGTAAAGCCAGGGCAAGCAGTAAAGCCTGAGGATTTGCTGCCTTCCCACAGCCCATGGTGGCTGCTTCCCTGGGCTCTGCTGGCCATTCAGTCCTGGTTTTATAGCCAATGCAGCTGAGGCTGAGAGCAGTCAATTTTGGCTAGACTTAGGATACAAAACCAATCAGAGAACCTGAGTGAGTGTGTGTGTGTGTGTATGTGTGTATTTTGCAAGGGGTTTGTACCCAGGACCTTACAAATACCAGTCAAGTACTCTACCACTGAGCCACATCTCCATCCCTAGAAGTCTGCACTTTGTTCAGTTTGATTTTGGTTTTTGAAACAAGATCTTACTAGATAACCTGGAACTTGCTGTGTACCTCCATCTGACCTCAAATTCATAATATTCCTGCCTCAGCCTCCTGAGAGTTGAGATTCCAAGTGTGAGCCACCATGCCTAGCTAGAAGAGTTGTTTTTTTTTTAATATCAAGTTTGGTTTTGTTAAAAGTTGGAGAAACTGGGCCAGGCGTGGTAGCTCACACCTTTAGTCCCAGCACTAAGGCAGAGGCAGGCGGGTCTATGTGAGTTCAAGGCCAACCTGGTCTCATAGCAAGTTCTAGGCCAGCTGGTGCTTCAGGGAGACCCTGTCTCAAAAAGACCAAAAAAATGAAGTTGGAGAAACTGGGCATGGTGGTATATGCCTTTAATCCCAGCACTCAGGAGGCAGAGGCAGGAGACCTGGAGAGATGGCTCAGGGGTTAAGAGCATTGGCTGCTCTTGCAGAGGACCTAGGTTTGGTTCCCAGTACCTACATGGTGGCTAGCAACTCCAGTTCCATGGGATTGATACCCTCTTCTGACTACATGGGTACACTTACATACATGCAGACATACACGCATACACATAAAATAAAAATAATAAATGAATTTTTTTTTTTTTTTTTTGTCTTTTTGAGACAGGATCTCCCTGTAGCCACAGCTGTCCTGGATTCACTATGGAGACCAGGCTGGCTTCAAACTCACAGAGATCCGCCTGCCTCTGCTTCCCTAGTCCCTGGAGAGATGGCTCAGTGGTTAAGAACCATTACTGTTCTTGGAGAGGACCCAGGTTCAATTCTCAGCACCTACATGGTAGCTAACAACAATCTGTAACCCCAATTCCAGGGGATCCAACACCCTCTTCTGGCCTTGTGAGCATTGTATGCACGTGGTACACTTACATACATTCAGACAAAACACTCATACACCTAAAATAAAAATAATAAATATTTAAAAGAGAAATATTCAAAACTGCACAAAAGCAGGTAAAAGCAAAATACACATGGGATTGGGGAGGGCGCTGGGATTGGTTGTTGGTTAGTTGGTGGGTTGGAGTCAGACAAGTTCTAGCTAGTAAGGTGGCTCAACAGGTAAAGGCAAGTTGCCATGCAAACCTGATGATCTTGAGTTCCATCCCTGGATTCCACATAAAGGTGGAAGGAGAGAATTGACTCTACAAAGTTGTCCTGTCTACACATGCACTGTGGCATGCCCCATTTCATAAATAAATAAATAAATAATAAAATAAATAATAAAATAAATAATAAATGGGTCTCATGTAGCCCAGGGTAGCCTCAAACTCACATGTAACTATGGATGACCTTGAACTCCTGATCCTCCTGTTCCTACCTTGTGTGTCCTGGGATTACAGCTGGGCATCACCATGCCTGTTTTTTTGTCGTGCTAAGCATAGAACTCAAGGCTTTGTCCATGTCGGGCAGGGGCTCTGGCAACCGAGTCACCTCCCCAACCTGCTCCAGGTGTTTTAAAGTGGATCCAAGATATGCCATCATTTCATTGTGCCAATATAGTGACTGTTGTGGTACAATTGTTAAATGTGAGGCTTTGGGGATTGGGAGTTTTCTTGAGATAATCATCTAGCCCAGGCTGACTCCTAACTCATTATATAAAAGAATTTGGCCTTGAACTCCAGATCTTCCTGCCTCTACCTCCCAGGTGCTGCAATAACAGGCACACACCACCAGTCGTGGCTGTAAATTTTTTCTTTTTTTTTTTTTGTCTTTTGGAGACAGGGTCTCCCTGTAGCCCCAGCTGGCCTGGATTCACTATGGAGACCAGGCTGGCCTTGAACTCACAAGAGATCCACCTGCCTCTGCCTCCTGAGTGCTGGGATTAAAGGCATGCGCCACCATGCCCAGCTTGTGGCTGTAAATTTTAAAATAACAACATGAGCCCTTAATCCTTATGTACTCAGTTTCCCTGCAAGCCTTTCTCGTAGTGGAAGACCTACCAGCCCTTGAATGGGGCCTGGTGGCTCTTCTTATTCTTGCTGCATGTATAGACTGAACACTGGCTGTGGAGCTATAGGGGGATGCTGGCACCCACTGGCTGTAGGGTGCAGGGGGTCCTAATGCCCCACTAACTGTGGGATGGAGGGAGATGCTGATGTCCACTGGTCTCTTCCAGGACCTCTACCTGGAGCACCTGCTGCTGTGTGTGGAGGCTCTGGTTTCTGTGTGTCGGGAGGACTGCTGTGTGGCCAGCCTGCAACTCATGGAGGTGCTGTTGACAATAATGGCTGTCTCCCGAGCCATGGCCCTTGGGAACAAGGTAGGCTGACAGCTGCCTGCAGCCCCAGTCTCTCTCTACAGGAAACATAGCTGTTCACTATCAGTCTCCAGCCTGTTTGAATTCCAGATCTGAGGCAGACTTGACTAGCAAAGTTGAAAGAATTTGGAACACTTGGGAGGAGTCACTCACAAGGTGGCTTCAGGGAGCATCCCTCCACCTGTAGGCCTATCTTCTATCTAGAAGTGAAAGGTGCTTCATCTCAGCACCTGCAGTAAAGAAAGCAGACCATTGAGCCCCTGAGCCCCTGCCTCTCTGGGGCTTCAAAGCTTCACAGGCAGCCTTTAGCTGTAGAGAAAACTGGCAGCTGTCTGATGCTGATTGTAGCCCAGTTTGCAATTATTTCCGTCCCTTGACAATGTGTAGACTTTCAAAATCTGTTCTCTCTTTATTTTTTTGTTTCTGTGTTTTTGAGACAGGATCTCATTGTGTAGCACAGGCTGGCCTTAAAGTCAAGGCAGTTCTTCTGCCTCAGCTTCATTTATGAGTCACCATACCTGGATTTATGCTTTTAAATCTCTTAACGTAAGACTGGGGAAATGGCTGCTGGTAAAGTCCTTGCCATGCAAGCATGAGACGTGAGTTCAAATCCCCAGTACTCTCACACCTATAATCCCAGCACAAGAGAAGCAGAAGAGGGAGACAGGAGGATGACTGGGGCTCACTGACCAGCCAGTCTAGCCAATCCGTGAGCTCCAGGTTCAGTGAGATCCTGTCTCAGAAAATAATATGGAGAGTGATTGAGGAACACAACCTAGTATCAACCTGGCCTCCTCTGGTGTGCATATGCATGAACACATACCTATACATAGAAAACACACATACATACACCTCTTAACTTGCAGTCCCTATGGGTTCCAGCAAGCACCTGGAAGCTGCTGCCTCGGACTAGGGCTCTTGCAGCCCTGCGGGCTTCCAGGAGGCTTGGGTGTTCTGTGGAGCCCTGGGTGTCCTGTGGAGTCTCTGCTTTGTTGGGAACTTTTCAACTCTGATTCCTCCCTCTGAAGACAGCATTTGCAGAGGTTATGCATCATTTGTCTTCCAAGACAACTTGTCACCCATAGGGCCATAAATTTTGGCAGGATGGTGCCTGCAGGCCACAGGAAGGAAGCCCAGCTTGCTGGATGACAGCAGGTCAGGAACTGATCCTGGCAGCTGCTGCCAGGGATCTTTCTAGGGATCCCTAGTGCTTTAAACTCCCAGGAGGAAGTCACAAGTGAAAAGGTGACTGGCTTGGCCGAGCAGCCCTCCTGTATCCCTTCAGAGCAGCCAACAAGTTGTTTTTACCTTTCATCTGGTTTTGGTGGGGAGAGCTAGTTGGTGGAGGGTGGGAGTAGATTGGCACTGTGTCTCAGCCCGTTTCCTTGATTTGGAGGCTTTTAGTGGAGGATTGTTATTTGTTGTTTGTTTTTGAGACAGGATCTCCCTGTAGCCCCAGCTGGTCTGGAACTCAGCTATTTAGACCAGGCTAGTCTTAATATCACAGAGATCTGCCTGCTTCTGCCTCCTGACTGCTAGAATTTAAGGTGTGTGCCATCTGGATGAGTTTTTGTTTTTCAAACAAGGTCTCCCTATGTAGCCCAGACTGACTTTGAACTCTTGATCCTTCTGCCTTAGCCATCTGGGTATCCCAGTACACCCAGCTTCTTTTTATTTCTTTGTGTGAATACATGTAGGTATGTAGGTACACAAGTATGCGAATGGAGGTCAGAGGTCCACTGTCAGGTATACAGGGGTGTGTGTGTGTATGTAGGCCAGCAGTCAGGCCATGGGTATGGCTCCTCTGGCACCATCCATCTTGTGAATTTTGGCTTGTTTGTCTTTTGTTTTTGGGGGCTTTTGGGGTTTTTTTTTGGGGGGGATGGTCTTTTTGAGACAGGGTCTCCCTGTAGCCCCAGCTGTTCTGGAACTCACTATGTAGACCAGGCTGGCCTTGAACTCACAGAGATCCGCCTGCCTCTGCCTCCCGAGAGCTGGGATTAAAAGTGTGTGCCACCACGCCCGGCTACCTTGTTTTTTTTAAAGATTTTACTTTAAATTTATTTATTTTTATTTTGTGTGTCTGAGTGTTTTGCCCTCATGTATGTAAGTACACCCATGTGTGCTATGCCCACAGAGGCCAGAAGAGGATGTCTGATCCCATGGCCACTGAGTTATGAACAGTAGGCAGGCACCATGTCAGTGCTGGGACCTGAACCCAGGTCCTCTGCAAGAGCAGCCAGTGCTCTTAACCTCTGAGCCATCTCTCCAGTCCCTCAAAGATTTCACTTATTAATTTTTTTGAAACAAGGGTTCCTGGTAGCCCCAGCTGGCCTGGAACTCATTGTGTAGAACAGGATGACCTCTATCTCTCAAAGATCTTCCTGCCTCTGCCTCCTGTGTACGGGGATTAAAGGCATGGGCCACCCCTCCTGGCCCTTTATTTTTAATTGTGTGTGTGTGTGTGTGTGTGTTACAAGTGATTGAACCACCCAACATGAATGCTGGAAACCAAGCTCAAATCCTGTGCAAGAGCAGTCTGTGCTGTTAACCACTGAGCTGTCTCTCCATGCCCACCTTTTTTATTTTTTTTAACAAGGTCTTATACTGGCTTGGAGCTCACTAAGTAGGCCAGCCCCACAGATCCTCCTTGTCTGCACCTCCCTAGTACTAGGATTGTGAGCGTTAGGCCACCTATCTGCCTTTTTATTTGTTTTCTTTGAATTCAGGTCCTTATACCAGCAAGGCATGCACTTTCCTGACTGAGCTATCTCCCCACACCTTACCAAGTTTCCTTAAACCACTTTGCACCAGGCTCTTATGGGGCAGAGCCCCTGTTTGAACAGCCTCTGAGCAACTCTCAGACCTTCCTGCTCTCAAGTGACTGGGCTCCTGGATCTGCATAGAACCCAGGAACTACTGGCTCTTCACTGCCAAGTGGGCGGCTGTGTCAGTGTGATTAATTTCCGTACAAACATCACTGACAGAGGTAAATGCAAATCCAACTGTCAGTGTGAGTGTGTCCACAGTCAGCCCTGTTGGGACCCTTCTGCCTGCTGTTTGAAGGACCTCTATTTTGCAGTCATTGCTTCTGGACCAGTCCTTCTGACTACCTGAAGGTTCCTGTGGGTCATGGACCTCAGATAACAAGGGAATCGCCAAGAATTTTTTTTTTTTTTTTTAACATCTTAAAAAGATTTTATTTTTTTAAAACATTTTATTATTTTTGCCAGGCGTGGTGGCGCATGCCTTTAATCCCAGCACTTGGGAGGCAGAGACAGGTGGATCTCTGTGAGTTCAAGGCCAACCTGGTCTACATAGTGAGTTCCAGGCCAGCTGGGACCAAAGGGAGACCATGTCTCAAAAAAAGACTAAAAACAAGTTGTACTCCATGGTGCCAGCAAGATTGCTCAGTGGGCAAAGGCCTGACAGCTTGAGTTTGATCCCTGGAATCCACATGGTGAAAGGAGAGGACCAACTCCTTCAAATTGTCTCCTGACATTCACACATGTACCGTGACATGCACAGCCTCCTCCCCCACAAAATAAGCAAAACAAGTAAATGGAAAAAGAAAAAAGAATTAGGCTCTGGGCTAGGCGTGTAACTCAGTTGTAGAATGTTTGCCTAGCATGTATGAAGCCCTGGGTTACATATCCAGCATTACATAAAACTGGATATGTTGGCACATACCTGTAATCCCCACACTCAGAAGGCAGAAGCAGGTGGGTTAGAAATTTAAGGTCATCTTTGACTATATTTGAGGCCAGCCTGAGCTGCATGAGAACCTGTCTCTAAAAGCAAAAAGACTTGTCCCAACCTTTGTATATCCTCCTCCAGGCCCAGAAGACCATGGACACGCTGGCAGAGGTTGAAGATGTGCCCAGCAGTCAGGACCTCTACCACAAGCATGTGGGTGCACTCCTGGAGCGGCTGACTGCCTCACATGGCGAGTGGACTGTGCACTCTGTACCTCTGCTCCAGTTTTCCATTGTCCTCATCCAGGCAGGTGAGTTCCACTGCACTCGCCAGACTGGCCTGTCTGCGACTGTACCGTCTTCACCATCCACAAGCCAGGGTGCAGGCAGCATGCAAGCTGGTCTTGACCCAGATAGGTTATACACAAACACATGCATATATATATATATATATATATGTATATATATATATATATATATATATATAAAATCTCATGATGGCCCCAAACCAGAGCGCTTCCTGCTCTAGCTTCCCACATGCTGGCTTCATAAGCATCAGCTGCCATGCCCAGTGGGGCATGCCCTTTACAGTGAACTCAAAAACAGGATATGCCATGGCTCTTTCATGGCCTGTGTTCTTCTCACACATCTGCTTTACTGTGGGATTCAGTGTCTCTGGCCACATTGGAGTGTGACCTTGAGATGTCAGCACTCTTATGTGTCCTCCCAGAGCCTTCAGACTCTGGCTTTTTGCTCAAGTGAGAAGTGTTGTTTTAGAGCCTTTCATTATCAAGGCCTTTGTGACCAAAGCACCAGGCTGTGTCACCTGTGTCCTGCATTTTCCACAGTGACTACAGACTGAGCTGCTCTCTCCCCAGTGTGTGGGCCATCATTGCCTTTCTTCTCACTGCTCCCCAGGCCCACCCTAAGTGGCCCCACCATTCCCTGTTGGGGGTGTGACATATGAACAACAGCAGCAGGGATGAGGCCAAGGTTGTGACTTAGTGGGTAGAGTAGTTCTCACCAGCTAGAGTATTCACTTGGCTTACATGAAGTTTGAGTTCCATCCCCAGCACTGCATAAACCCAGTGTGATGGTGCATGCCTTTAATCCAAGCCCTTGGGAGACTGAGGCAGGAGGATCACACTTTGGAGGACAGCCTGGGCTACATACATAACAGGACCCTGTCTCAAAATAAAAAGGGGCGGGGGTAGGGGGAGAACCAGGAGAACAAAACTGGAAAGATTAGTTAGGCATGGTGGTGCAGGCCTTTAATCCCAGCACTTGGGAGGCAGAAGCAGGTGGATCTCTGTGAGTTCTTAGGACAGTCACAACTCCGGGCTTTATTTGGGCTCATGTTCTCATATTGTATGCAAAGATGGGATGTAGCCAGTAGCATATGAGCCAGTGTGGTGACTCATGCCCACCAGCACTTAGGAGGAAGAGGATTTTCTGGACAATGTGAGTCCCTATCTCAAAGCAAACCATAGGCTGTGATTGTAGTTTAGTGGTAGACGGCTTACCCATTATGCACAAGGTCCTGGCTCCATGCCTAACCCTTGAGGGAATCAAAGAGTTAGTAAGCCTTTAGTACTAGCACTCGGGAGGCAGAGGCAGGTGATCTCTGTGAGATCGACGCCAGCCTGGTCATATAGAGAGCTCCAGTTCCAAGCCAGATGGCTATAGGGATACTCTGTCTGAAAAAAATAAAATTATCTGAATTTAACCTCCAGATCCCAGAGACATGAGCTAGAAGCTTTAGGGTACCACTTGTTCATCCATGAACCAAAATATTGAACCAAAAATAACAAGCCTGACCTAGGAGCCTAAGCTGATGCCTGGGCTACTGCCAGCATTGTTGGCTAGCACTCCCCTGTGGGCAGTTTTTGGAATAGTGCATTTAGAACAGAGTATTCACAGCCTTCTGTTCAGCTGTCCCACTCACGCTCTTCTAAGAACATTATGCTAGTTTTGATAAAAGATAGGCACCTAAGGGAGCTGATGAGATGGCTCAGCACATAAAGCTTGCCCCACAAACCTGGTGACCTCAGTTTGATTTCCTGAACCCATGTAAAGGTGAAAGGAGAGAACCAACTCCACAGAGTTGTTCTCTGACCTCTACATGTGTACCAAACACACACACACACACACACACAAATAATAATAATAAAATAAAATAAAACATTTAAGCACCCCCAAACCCCAGCAGAGTATAACTTAATAATGGAAGTCAGAAGTGGCCCATATACCAACAGGAAGTTAAAGCACGTAAGGGCTTCTCTTCCACAGGAGCAGTTGCCCCACCCACCTCCAGGGCGGTAATCCTACCTGTTGGTGACATGGTAGAGCAGCATGCTGAGAGCAAAGAAGCATGTCCACCTCATGAGGGAGAATTATCATAAGCTGTCCTTGAACTCACTCGAGCCCAGGCTGGTCATGAACCTGCTGTCCTCCTGCCTCTATATCCTGACTGCTGGGATTATAAGCCTGGGCCTCCAACACACCTGGGTGGCTGTGGTAGGAGTGCTTTAGTGTGTTTTTTTTGTTTTGTTTTTGTCTATTTTTGAGACAGAGTCTCCCTGTAGCCCCAGCTAGCTTGGAACTATGTAGACCAGGCTGGCCTCGAACTCACAGAGATCTGCCTGCCTCTGCCTCCCGAGTGCTGGGACTAAAGGTGTGCACCACCGCTCCCAGCAGTTTTTTAACTTTTTGAGATAAAGTTTCCCTGTAGCCCCAGCTGACCTGGAATTGCCTATACAGATCAGCCTGGCTCTACGTTATAGAGATCCACCTGCCTCTGCCTCCCAAGTGCTGGGATTAAAGGCATGCACCACCACACCTGGCTGATTTTTAACATTTTTATTACCAAGTGGCCTACTTCACAAATCCCACCCAAGACCCCAGCTTTTGGGAGGCCGTGATGTGAGAGGCACAGCACTCCCCTTCCCACGCTCATCACCAAGCATGACAGGTGACACAGTGCAGTGTTCATGTTTAAGCCAGAAAGTGTAGCTCATTGTAGTGTGTTAGAACACGGAGAGTTCAGAAGGCAGAGGGGACCAGAGTGGCTGGGGAGATGGCTCATCGGTAAAGTGCTTGCTGCACAAGCATGAGGAGCCAAGTTCAGTCCCCAGAACCCATAGAAGAAAGTCAGGTACAGCGATATATCCCTGTAATCCTAGTGCTGGGAAGGCAGAAACAGGAGGATCTCTGTGGCTTATTGACTAGCCAGTCCAGATGAATCCATTCCGAGTTAATGAGAGCCTATCTCAAAAAAAAGATAAAATGATAAAAAGCAATTGAGGAAGACACTCAGTAACAACTTGTGGCTTCCCATGTGCATGCACACATAAGTTCATACCCACACATTAACATGTATATACACTCAAAAAGAAATAACATCAGAAAAGTGAGCTCCTGCCACAGAACATCCCATGTTCTGAGCTGGACATCAGTGCCTCTGGGCCCATAAGTTCCTCTTGTGGGGAAGTCCCAGCACACCCCTTGGGACCACAACTGATCCCACTGTTGCCGTAGGTAGACTGCAGTGGGGCCCACCACAGTCAGTTTGGCTGCAAGTAGGGGCTTTGCCAGGATTCCAGCATGGCTTGAAGACTGCTCTCATGTGGCCTTTAGCTCTGCCACAGACAGGGTGATATGCACTCAGCCAACTCTCCTTTCAGACTGGCCCAGATCCTGGAGTCCTCCCTCTGGGGGCCACATCCCATCATCCCCTGAGCCCTGTGCTTCTGGGCTCTTGGCACCTTGGGAGGTAGGGTATGCACATGAACAAACACAGTGTGGGCCATTGGAATCTGGCCTGTTTCAACTCCTGAGATTTAGGGACCACAAGTTCGAGGATGATTCATTTGTGGCCACTGAGCTCCTCCTCCCATCCTTGTCAAAATGGAGACAATAGCACTGTGGTGGGGGATGGTGTCAGACCTGATCCCTAGCATCCATGCTTCTATGTATTGACCAGTGGCAAAGTAGAACCTAGGACCCTATAGCTTGAGCCAGGACCCACAAACAGAAGCAGGAGGCTACAGGTGCAGCTTCGTGTCCCGCACCTGGTCCCCAGGAAGGCTGGACTTGCACTGCTATGAAGCATATTTTGCCAGGTGAATTTGTTTTATGTTTGAGACAGGATCTCATGCCACCCAAGCTGGTCTTAAACTTATATAGTAGCTGTCCTAGTCTGTTTCTTCATTGCTGTGACAAAAATACTCTGACCACTACCAACTTGGGGAGGAAAGGGTTTATTTAGCTTACATATCCTGGCTCACAGTTCATCTGGGAGCCCAAGGTAGGAACTCAGGGCAGGAACCTGGAGACAGGAGCTGGAGAACAGGCCATGGAGGAATGCTGCTTGCAGGCTTGCTCTCTGGCCCCTGCTCAGCCTGCTTTTTTATGCAACACAGACCCACCTGCCCAGGGGTGGCACCACCCACAGTGGGCTGGGCACTCCCACATCACTCATCAAGAAGATGCCCCTCAGACATGGTCACAGGCCAATCCAGTAGAGGCAGTTCCCCACTTGAGGCTCCCTCTCAACCCAGGTGTGTCAAGTTGACACTAAAGCTATCCAGCACAGTAGCTGAAGATGATCTGGAACATCTCATCCACCTGCTTCCACCTCCCCAGTGCTGGGATTATAGACATGCACCATCATACCCGGTTTATACAGTGCTGGGGATGGAACGCAGGACTTCCTGTATGCTAGGCAGGCACTCTAACCACTGTGGTATTGCCCCAGCCCCTCACTAGGTGGATTTTATCTTGAGAGGCAGTCCCTTAAAGCACTAGTATTCAGGCCTGGTATGTCAACCTTGCAGAGGCCAATAACTGACAGCTATTCCAGGGACTGAATCTCTGCTTTCCTCTCTTGCTCATCCTCTCTTTTATGAATAAACTGCATGGGAGCTTGACTTATTCCTCCGGGCTTGCTGCTCTCAGCCACGAATTTCCAGACAGCTGTCCACTGATGCTGACAGTCTGACAAGCCCCTGGCTCTCACCTGTGCTGCTCTGAGCAGTCCCCTGGCCTCGGCCATGCTGGAAGGGTCCTGCTCATCTTAATAGCCCAGTGGCTCCTTTCCCCATTGTGGGTTGTTTTCCTTCTCCTCCCCAGACCCACTCAGCTTCAGGTGGGCAAAGCTGCTTCTCCCTCAGCCTCCCTGTTTCCATCTTATAGGCACTGAACACAGGGTTTGAGATACTGTCTCAAAAGACGGAAGGTTTAGAGGGTATTGTGCAGTAGTAGAATTAGCAAACTGTGGAGCCAGAGAGAGGACTCAGGTTAAGAGTACTGGCTGCTCTGTGGCTGGAGAAATGGATTAGCAGTTAAGAGCACTGACTGCTCTTGCAGAGGACCCGGGTTCAATTCCCAGTACCCACATGGCGGCTACGAACTGTCTTTAACTCCAATTCCAGGGGAATCAAAAGCGTTTTTCTTATGGGCGTGCGGGGATCTCGGGGCGCCAGCTGCTAGCGTCTCCTGCGTGTACCTGGGAAGCAGCGGGTCCCGCGGCTCGTCTGCTCCGCGTTGCTGGCGGGTCCCTGCTTCTCCGCATCTCTGTGGGTCTCTGCTACCAGGGCTGGCCCGGTCGAGTTCCGCCTCAGTTTCACCCATGCACTCTCTCTCTAAGTTCAGGACCCATCAGCTGCTGGGTCACGGATGACGGAAGGATAGCGCCCCCCGGGGAGGCTAGATCGTAGGCAGTAAGACACAGAACTCAGCTCAGTCAGTGGTACAGCCCCTTTATTCAGTGACTCAGCTCAGCTCCAAGTCTTAGTGATCCAGCTCCGATTAATTGGGGGAAACCAGGATATTTTATACTGTAGGGGTAGTGGTAAAAGCCTTAGCTGATAGGTACTTTTAGGATGCCTCATTTACATAGGGCGGTGGGCTTCTGTCAGGCTATCAGACAACACCTGATTAAAACCTGGTAGCTCCTGTGCCGGAGGGCATGTATCTTGTGATGGGCATTTCAAAAGTAAGTCAGGGAGGAGAGCAGAAGGCGCCCCGCTGAGAAGGGGAACCTCCCCATTCGCGCCGAGCCAGCTTGTGGCTATCCAGACATGGGGAGACTGCTACCCTAAACAGCAGGGGTCCCCAACATTTTCTGACCTCCGCAGCATTGCACAACACAGGTGCACTCACATACATTCAGACAATATACTCATACACATAAAATAAAAATAATTTTTAAAAAATACTGCTTGCTCTTACAAAGGAAGGAGTTTCAGTTCCCAGCACCCACGTGGTGGCTTACAACATCTGTAACTCAAGTTTCAGGGGATCTGACTCCTCTTCTGGCCTCCACAGGCATCGAATGTATACAATGTGATGAGACAAAACACTCATACACATAAAATAAAAGTAACTATGTTAAAAAAAAATTTTTTTTTTGGTCTTTTTAAGACAGGGTCTCCCTGTAGCCACAGCTGGCCTCGAACTCACAGAGATCTGCCTGCTGAGTGCTGGGATTAAAGGAGTGCACCACCATGCCAGACTAAAAAAATGTTTTCAGTGCAAAGTCCTGCTTAGGGCGCAGAGCATGTCCAGAAAGTGTTGGGGGGTGGGGGGGAGTTGTCTGATGAGTTACTGTGCATGTCCAACTGCAGAGACTGTGCAGTGCCAGCCACGAGGCAACAAGCTCCCATCTAAGAGGCTGCACTGTGTCTTCATGATCTAGTGGGGGAAGGTGGATGCTGTCTCTTTTCCACACTGCTAAGTCTAAAAGAGGACACTACCCACAAGGCTCAGGCAAAGGGTGGACATGCTCTGATTTATTTTGGTATTTTGGTGGTTCTTTGACTTTAGATTTAAGAATTTGGTGAAGTATGGACTGTGAAGATAGTTCATCTTGCACTCTTGAAGACCTGAGTTTGAATTCCCAGACCCCTCATTTACAAAAAAAAAAAAAAAAAAAGCAACAAAAAAATTGAAACCAGCTGTAATGGTATGCACTCGTAATCTTAGCACTTGGGGAGGTAGAGACAGATGGATCCCTGGGGCTCACTAGTCAGTCAGCCTTGCCTAATTAGCAATTCCCACATCAGCGCAAGACTCTGTCTCAAAAAAGGTGGATGAAGGGGCTGGAGAGATCACACAGTGGTTAAGAACACTGACTGTTCTTGCAGAAGACCTGGATTCGAATTCCAGCACCCACACGGCAGCTAACAACTGTCTATAATTCCAGTTCCAGGGGATCCGACAGCCTCTTCTGTCCTCCTCAGGCATTGTGCAACATGGGTGCACTTACTTACATGTAGGCATAGCACTCATACACATAAAATAAAAATAATAAAATATTAAAAAACAAAAAAAAAAGGTGAATGATAACTGCAGAGAAACAACAGCCAAGGTTGATTTCCAGCCTGCGTGGTGCGCGCGTGCACACACACACACACACCCCACACACACACACACAGAATCTAGGTAAATACCCAAGCTTGGAGTGAGTGTCAGTCATCCTAGCACTTGGGAGGCTGAGGCAGGAAGACTGCCTTGAGGAGTTGGGGCTAGCCTGAAAAGAATTTAGGAAGTATAAACTAAACAGAAACAGGACATTAGCATACTGGTCACTTGATAAGGGGATTCTGGGGTCAAATCCTTCTGTTGGTGTCCTCTGATGGTCACATCAGCAATCGTGAGCTGCATAACTTGCAGGGTGCCTTCCAGTGCACCTGTTCCTGCCTCAGTCTTCTGCTCCATCAGAGAAGCTGGGAAGCCAGCAGCTTATTGCAGCCCCTTCTCTCTGTTCTCCAGGCCCTGCTGTGGGAGAAGTGCTACAGCATGTCTTCCCCACCCTGAGGGCTTGTCTCCAGCCCACCACAGACCCACACATGCGCCTGAAGCTCTTCTCCATCCTGTCCACAGTGCTGCTGAGGCCAAAGGACACTGTCGACTCTCAGGGGTAGGTCAGTTCTCAGGTCTGTGCAGAGCCCACTTGGGTATTGGATAGGAACTCCCACCTCCCCACCCTGCTCTGGGCAGGGCTCCCACCTCCACACCCTGCACTGGGCAGAACCCCATCTCCCCACCCTGCTCAGGACAGGGCTCCCACCTCCCGACCTGCACTGAACAGAGCCCCACCTCTCCACACTCTCCTGGGCAGAGCCCCACCTCCCCACACTCTCCTGGGCAGAGCCCCACCTCCCCACGCTCTCCTGGGCAGGGCTCCCACCTCCCCATGCTGCATTGGGCAGGGCCCCCATCGTCCCACACTGCACTGGACAGGCCACTCTGAGGTCCAAGGGGCAAGCTTCTTGGTGGCCTGAGTCCCTGGTGGTCTGTGTCCCCAGTATCCACCCCTGTTGGATAAACAGTGAACTTGATGAGTACGACACAGAAACACAGAACAGTAAATCAACATCACTTTAGTGGGTCATTAAAATTCCATCAAGTGAGGAAGTTTTAGGGCACATTAACTATTAATGGTTTGTGTATTGACTGTTCTCGGTTTTAAAAGCCTTTTGGTGCCTTTCAGACCTAACAGACCTGATTGAATTAGCATTGATGGTGAAGGCTTAGAGATATCTGTTATCTCCAAAGAACTCTGAGGCAGCATTACAACCAAAGAGCCTCCAGTTTTATTGCTTTGAAGTAAGGGAAAGATGAACAAAGCTTAGGAAAGAACAGGCCTGGAAGGAGCGGAGCAGATGCCCCAGGACCCGGCAGCTCATCCTAAGACCTAGCAGCTCATCCTGGGAGGGACCTGGGAGTGTGCAGTGGGCAGATTTAGAAATTCAGCTGTCCTGAGGAATACACACACAAAAACACACACACACAGGTATGCACATGTATACCACACACACACAAACACCCTGCTCTTAAAATACTTCCATCCTTGGTTCAGTCAGCAGAATGATACCCAAGTCATTTGTGTCCCACCCCAGCCAGACGCCCCATCACGGTCCTGGTTTTTAAAGATAGAGACCCTTAACAGTTTTGCCCCATGTCAGCTCCTGAGACCCCACTTTTCCCCTGCCTCTCCCCTAACAATTCTGTCATCACCGAGTGTGGCCAACAAACTGTAAAATTCCTTGGGGGAGTGACCTGGTCATTCAAACCTAACCCCCTTCCAGTGCAATCGTGCCATCCTGCTGGCTACCACCCCCTCACACTGCAGGAAGTTTTGTTGCCTGATTGTCTGCAAAGACCTCAGGGCGGAGAAGGGACCATAAAAAGATATTAATGAACTCCTTGGTAGCAGGCCATTGAACAGGCATGTACAGAGGCTGGCCCTGGTGTGGCCCTGCGTTTCTGAGGATTGGTGACTCCCAACCCACAATGAAGCTATGGGGTTTGAGCCAGGTTCTCAAAGATAAGCACTTCCAACTCCTGTCTGGATGAAGTTGGTATGCAGAAAAGTCAATTATTCAAATTAGCTGTTTAGTGAAATAATTATTATATAGGCAGAAAAGGTTTGAAAAATAGCAACAGTTAGATTATAAAATGGTAGCCATAAAATGCAAGATGAAAGCTGCAGGAAGCCCTCCCCAAACGCTGCCACCAGCTCTCTTGGAAGCCTCAGAGTCAAAGTTCATGCGAAAATCATGAACTGGGGCCCGAGGATATGGGTCAGTTGGTAGAGCACTTGCTTATCATGTAGGAAGCCCTGGGTTCTATCCCTAGCACCACATAAACTGGGAGTAGTAATGCACACCTGTTATCCCAGCACGTGGGAAGTAGAGACAGGAGGACCAGGAGTTCAAGGTCATCCTCACTACATAGGAAGTTTGAGGCCAACCTGAGCTACATGAGACCCCAATCTCAAAAAATAAAGAATGCTGGGCATGGTGGCACTGGCCTTTAATCCCAGCATTTGGAAGTCAGAGGTAGGTGAATCTCTGAGATCGAGGCTAGCCTCATCTATATAATGAGTTCCAGGCCACCTGGGGCTACAGGGAGACCCTGTCTCAAAATTAATTAATTAATTAATTAATTAAGAAAGAAAATCTTGAGCCAGCAGTGTTGAGGAGGGCAACTCCTGAGTAGTCAGCATGCACTCTTGGCAGGGCAAGGCCATGGGTGGGTGGTCTGTGAGGAAGGACCTGAGGGGCAGGTCTTTGATGGCGGCTTTGTGTTAAGCTGGCCTGGTGAAATCTGTGTAAGAATGACTTTTTTAAGTTTTGTGGGGATGGGGGTTGTTGTTTTGTGGTTTTATTTTTTGTTTTATTCAGTCAGGGTCTTCCTGTAGCCCCAGCTGGTCTTGAACTCAATATGTAGATCAGGCTGGCTTTGATCTCACAGAGATCTGCCTGTTTTGCCTCCCAGAGTGCTGGGATTCAAGGATTCTACCACCACACCGGGCAAATTTCCTTTTTAGAAACGTTTGTCTTTTTTCTTTTTAAGATTTTTTTTTTTTTTTTTTTTTGTGCGCATGTGCGTGCGTGCGTGCATATGCTACGTGTTTGGTTCCTTGTGAAGGCCAAAAGAGGGAGTCAGATCCCCTGGAGCTAGAGATTTAGGCAGTTGTGAGCCACCCATTGTGGGTGCTGGGAATCGAACCCAGGTGCTCTGCAAGAGCAGTCAGTGCTCTTAACCACTGAGCCATCTCTCCAGTCCCTATTTTTTTTTTTTTTTTTTTTGGTCTTTTTGATACAGGGTCTCCCTGTAGCCCCAGCTGTCCTGGAACTCACTATGTAGGCCAGGCTGGTCTCAAACTCACAGAGATCTGCCTGCCTCTGCCTCCCGAGTGCTGGGATTAAAGGCGTGTATCACCACGCTCAGCGTTTTTGTTTTTGTTTTTTTTCCTACAGATGGCAGATTCAGTGGACAATGGAAGAGGCACCATGTAACCCAAAGAACCACATTACAGTTGATGCAGCACTTGCACACAGGCCCTCAAGCCCACTTTACCTGGCTACTTCACAGGGCCCACTTTGGGGAGGGGCTTAGGGTCAGTTCAGTATCAGCAGTCCTTGTGAATCTGTACAAGCCATGATGCTCTTCACTTAAACACTGGAGCACATTGAGGGCTGGGGTGTTGCATAGTTGGTGAAGCCTTCACCTAGCATGCGGAGCCCTTGGGTTCTGTCTCTAGTTACAAACAAAAGAAATTGAAACACAGCAGAACCCTAGCTGGGTGTATGCAAACCAGGCCTCACCAGCTAGCTCCCCTCCTATCCTTATTTTGGGTTTTGTTTATTGAAACAGAGTCTCCCTATAGTACCAGCTGAATTCTCTGTATCCCAGGCCATCCTGGATCTCAGAAATATCCACCTGCCTCTGCCTTCCAAGTGCTGGAATTAAAGATGTGCCCACCCCACCCAGCTCCCTCCTGTCCTTGAATCCACTGGAATTAATGTTGGCACCTGTCATCTATGGTATTGGGGTTCAGGCCCACGGTAGATGCTGAGGGTCCTGAGGATTTCACAGGGCCTTGATGAGACAGGAAGGGGTTCAGGTGCATATGGGGACAGGTCATGATTTCTGTGTTCTGATTGCAGTTCATTCTCACAAGCCTCTGACCATCCTCAGGAACTTCTCTCCATCAGTTGGTGTTCTTTGGCCTTGGGTCTCATCAGGCCTTCCTAAGCCCCAGTGTACTTGTTTACTGAACCTGCAACATATCCTTCAGGATATGCTGTCTGCCCTTCCTCACTTGCTCTCTGGTTTTGTCCAGGCAATTCCATGCCTACCTGGAGATGGTGGTGAATGACATCCTGGCCCCCAACCTGCAGTGGCACGCAGGGAAGACAGCTGCAGCCATCCGGACGGCCGCTGTATCGTGCCTGTGGGTACTCACCAGCAGTGACATTCTGTCAGCCAAGCAGGTAGGGACAGCTGTGACTGTCCCAGTTGTCTGTCCACTGGCACCATGAGATCTTCCAGGGCTGTATATCAAGTAGCAGCTGGGGAAATACTGGGAGGCAGTGCCTGTGAGACAGGTGGCCAGGGCCCAGGCCTCACTACCCTGGTGTCACAGCCTTCCTCTCCTTGTAAGATCTGGGGATCTGGTCTTTTTGCCTTAGGTTTACAAACTATCTCAGTCTTTTGTCCTGTTGCTATGATAAAAATGCCCTCACAAAAGCAACTAAACAGAAAAGAATGTATTGTTAAGGTACACTCCATTATATGGAGTCAGGGGCATCAGATGTGGTCATATTGTATCCAAGTCAAGCAGGCAGCACTCAGGAGGCAGAGGCAGACAGATCTCTTTGAGATCAAGGCCAGCCTGGTCTACATAGTTCCAGGTCAGCTGGCTACAGGGAGACCCTGTCTCAAAACAACAAACAAAAAAGTAAGTGGCAATGAGTGCTTGCTCAGCTCCCCTTCTCCATTTATATGGTCCAGGACCCAGACCCAGGGAATGGGCCTGTCCTCAATTAAGATAGGTCTTCCCACATCAATTAGCCTAATCAAGATAATCCCCCACAGGTATACCAGAGGACTGTCTCCCAGGTAGTTCTAGATCCTGTCAAGTTAACAGTTCACATTAGCCACACAAACCTATTAATTTTTTTTTTTTCTTTTAATTTGGGGCACGGGAACTTTTTCAGACAGGGTCTCCTTGTAGCCCCAGCTGACCTGGAACTCACTATGTAGACCCAACTGGCCTTCAACTCACAGAGATTAAAGGTGTGTGCCACTACACTCCCACTTTTTATTATTTTTGTTTCGTATGTATGCATGTATTGCCTGCATGTAGGTAAGTGCACCCATGTCGTGCAATGCTGGTGGAGGACAGAAGAGGCTGTTGGATCCCCTGGAACTGGAGTTACAGACAGTTGTTAGCTGCCATGTGGGTGCTGGGATTCGAATCCAGGTCTTCTGCAAGAACAGCGTTCTTAACTGCTGTGCCATCTCTCCAGCCCCTTTTTTACCTTTTTAAAAAATGTATTATTCTAGGGGCTGGGGAGATGGCTTAGTGGTTAAGAGCACTGACTGCTCTTGCAGAAGACCTGGGTTTGATTCCCAGTACCCACATGACAACTACAAACCGTCCTTAACTCCAGTTCCAGGGGAATCTGAAGCCCTCTTCTGACCTCCGCAGCATTGCACGACACGGGTGCAGTCACATACATTTAGGCAATACACTCATACACAAAATTTAAAAAATAAAATATTTTTTAAAAACTTATTCTAGCTGAGCTTGGTGGTATACACCTTTAATTCCAGCACTGGAGAGGCAGAGGCAGATGCCGTGTTCAGCACACACATCTTTGTGGGGAGTACCTTACATAACTTCAGATCTGTCAGGGGAACTGGGGAGAGGGGCACACATTACCAGGTGCGCTCCAGGCCCTGGATGTGTCCCCAGAAGTTCCAGGGAGGGAGGGAGGGAGGGAGGGAGGGAAGAATGCAGTCTTTGGGAGCCAGCTGCCCAGCTTCTGCTCTTTGTTAATATCACATGAGACCCAGGAGGCTCCGAGACCTGCAGAGAATTGATGCTAATGTGTCTGCGCAGGAAATGAGCCTTTGCCATCCTAGACCCACCCTGGGTGCCTCTGCCAGGCATGCAGTGCATGAGTGCCCCCTGCTGGTAGCAGAAGGTTCTTACCTAACCCAGAATTCTCAAAGGCAGTTAGACCCCCACAGTACACCATGGGTAGGTAGGGTTTGAGGAAATCAACTGACCAAATTAAAACCAAATTGGTGAGATTATCTGGAATTTATCTAGAACAGCAAAGAAAGCCAGTTAACTGTTGACTAAATTCTTATTTATCCTTTGACAGTGGAGAAGCCGAACAAGGGCCCCTGCCCTACTGAGACCAGTGTCCATGCAGCTTAATCTGTGACAGCCTGACCCAGACACCTTCCTCAGTGCCCTCTCCAACCCACTCCTCCTTCCACCTCCCCATTGGGTGTCCCAGCCCATCTGCTCCTGGCATCCTCCCTCAGCCTTGGCCTGTAGTCCTGTTTTTACTCTACCAGGAAGAAAACCATTACTAGCAGCTCCTCTATTCCCTGGAGAGTGGCTCAAATGCATGTTGCTGCCACCCTGTAGACTCACAAAGATATAGCACAGTCGTAACCATCACCAGGCCCTCACCCCAGAGCCTCTGCCACACTGCCAGTCCCTGCCATGCCTCCTTCAGTGGAGGTGCCTACCTTCAGCTGAGAGGAGGCCTGCAGCTCACCATGCACGCGCACAGATACACACGCCCTCCCTGTCCCTTTCACTTCTCAAGTAGAGTTGGCATTCTCCTGGTGGTCTCAATAAACCCTCAGTCTACTCACAGACCTCCCTCCAGTCGCTCCCTTTTCCTTGGTCTCTCTCCTGGAACCTTACACCAGCATCTAACTTTGTTTGTATCTCCATAGCCTCTCCACCATTACATGCTGTGCAAGTGCTCTAACACTGAGCCACACTTTCACTGGTGGATTCTAGACAGGTGCTTTACCACTGAATCATACCCCCAACCCCTCACTGGGGGATTCTAGGCCAGTGTATGGCTGAGTTATGCTCCCAGCCCTGTCTTTTTTTGTGTTTTTTTTTTCTTTTTGAGATAGGATCTCATTAAGTCTCCTGGGCTGACCTTGAGCTCACTGTAGCCCAGGCCGACCTTGAACTGTGAACCTCCTGCCTCGACCTTCATGCCAGCTTGGATGGCTGGCCTGCTGCATCCTTGCCCAGCTTCTCCTACCTTCAGAACAATACTCCCTCCCGATCTCATCCTGCTCTGTCAACTTCTGTTCCCTCTTCCAACAACACCCTCCAGAGCTGCCTACACATGGGGTTTTATTTTGGCATGGCGAAAGAAGTTCTTTTGTTCTAGTATATGTGTGTGCGCACAAGTGTGTGGAGGTCAGAGGTCAGCTACCTCAGTGTCATTCTTTAGGAGCTGTCCATCTTGTTTTTTTATTTGTGGTTTTGTTTTTTATTGGTTTTATGTGTTTTGCCTACATATATGTACATGTAACCATGTGCGTGCAGTGCCCAAGGAGGCCAGAACAGGGCGTCAAATCCCCTAGAACTGGATTTATAGATATTGTTTACCTGCCATGTGGCTGCTGGGAATTTCCCAGGTCCTCTACATGAGCAGCCAGTGCCTTTAAACCACTGAGCCATTTCTCCAGACCCCCATCTTGTTTTTTGAAACATCTCTGGCTAGCCAGTGAGCTCCAAGGATCATCCTGTCTTTGCCCACCCAGTTTTTCTTACGGGGATTCTGAGGGCTGAACTCAGGTAGAAAGCAAGCATTCTACCACCTGAGCTATCCCTCTAGCCCCTGGTGGTGGTGGTGGTGTTTTGTTCCCCTCGAGTCAAGGTTCCCTGTAGGCCAGGTTGCCCTAAAACTCCCTATGGTAGCTGGGACCACAGGTGTGTGACATCATGCCTGGCTGAGTTGTTTGTACTTTCCATACTGTCTGCTTGCCTTATGTGGCCTGGCCTCTCAGCAAAAAACAAGGGCTGCCAAGATGGCTCAGCAGGTAAAGGTACTTGTTGCTAAGCCTAGTGATCCCCCAGAAATTCGTATGGTAAAAGGAGAGAAATGACCCCTGCATGTTGTCCTCTTTTTTTTGGTCTTTTTGAGACAGGGTCTCCCTGTAGCCATCCAGTTGGCTTGAACTCAATATGTAGACCAGGCTGGCCTTGAACTTACAGAGCTCCACTTGACTCTGCCTCCCAGGTGCTAGAACTAAAGGCATGTATCACCACGCCCTACTGCATGTTGTCCTCTTGGCTGCCACACATGTGCCATGGCACACCCACACCCAAGTGCACCCTTGTTTTGAAATGCCCACTGAGGCCAGAGGAATGCATAAGGAACCCCTAGAACTGAAGTCACAGACAGTTGTTAGCTACCATGTAGATGCTAGGAACCAAATCTAGATCCTCTGGAAGAGCAGCAAATGCTCTTAACCACTGAGACAGCTCTTCAACACCAACACAATTTTAAAATATTTTATTATTTTTATTTTATGTGTATGAGTGTATTGCCTACATGTATGTGAGTGCACCCGTGTTGTGCAATGCTGCGGAGATCAGAAGAGGTCTTCAGATTCCCCTGGAACTGGAGTTAAGGATGGTTCGTAGCCGCCATGTGGGTGCTGGGAATTGAGCCCGGGTCCCTGTAAGAGCAGTCAGTGCTCTTAACCACTGAGCCATCTCTCCAGCCCCAACACCAACAAAATTTTAATTAAAAAAAAAAAAAAAGATTGAGCTGAGCATGCTAGTACATGCCTTTAATCCTAGCACTCAGGAGGCAGATCTCTGTAAATCTGAGGCCAGCCTGGTCTACATAGTGGGAGTTCCAGGCCAGCCAGGGGTACATAGTGAGACCTTGTCTCAAAAAACAAAAAAGGTGGGCTGGAGACAGGGCTCAGCAGTTAAGAGCACTGGCTGCTCTTGCAGAAGACCTGGGTTTGATTCCTAGCACTCACATGGTAGCTAGCAACCATCCATAACTACAGTTCCAAGGGATCTGACATCCTCTTCTGACCTCCATGAGCACTGCAGGACAGAGGTACACTTAGACACTCATACACATAAAATCAAAACAAATAATTCTTTTAAAAAAGACCAAAAAAAGAAAAGGAAGAAAAAAGATTACTATGTCTAGGTAAAATTTGAACACAGCTTTCCTAGCTAGATTGAAGGATTCCCAGCCATGTCCTTTTACCTGATTGTGGATTACAGGTGCAGGAGATACAGGAGACCCTAATGCCACATGTGCTGGCCACACTGGAAGACGACTCCCAGACCACCCGGCTCGTCTCCTGCCGCATTGTCAATATGTTCCTGAAGACCTCTGGACACACAATGGAGTCAGACAGACTCCTCAAGGTTTACCCTGGTAAGGTGTTGTTCTGTGACTTTTTTTATAGTAGATCTTAGAAAATGCCTCTTTTGACTCCTGGTGAGTTGGTGCTGGGTGACCATATACAACAGGGAGAGACACACCAGTCCTAAATGAACAGCTCAGCATGGGGAGCAAGAAGGACTGGGCTAGATCACAGATGGTGCCAGGCTGTGCTTCCAGGGCAATTGGGGTGCAACCCATAAGGGAGACAGAGACACACACACACGCCCCCCACACACACACTCAGAACATGAATTGTGGCCAGGCCTGAGTGAAAATATGGAGTGCTGTGAGGCTTCTACCCCCACATGAAGAGAAAGCCCTCTGCCTGGAAGGTAGGCTGATGGGGTGGGCAGGCTGGTGAGGAGGGATGGACCACCTCACCACCTGCCTGGGACCAGAGCCTGTCCAAACACCAGGCAGATCAGACAGAGATGAGGAGAGGGATGTGAGAATGACCCAGATCCGAGATAGAGACCAGGAGAGGAGATACGGGACTTCCATCAGGAGCTAGACAGAAATAGTGCTGAGCAGAACACTGATCACAGAGGCAGTGGATCCACCCTGAGCAGAGAGCACCAGGGTGAGGGAGCGACCACTGTGGGTGAAACAGAGGGGTGATGAACTGATCACTGGGCAGACAACAGGTGGGAGGGAACATAAAAGAAATGGGTGCAGAGGTAATCAGTCTCTCAAGGTGAGCTTGCAAACATAGCTCCCGATGGCAGATGTCATCAGCACAAGTGACACTAAAGGAAGTAAAAGGGCAGATCCATCACAGTTCTGATTTCAAATGTTTTAGTACTGTCAAAAAGCTAAAAGAGCTGGGTATGGTGGCACACACCTTTAATCCCAGCACTCGGGGGACAGAGGCAGGCAGATATCTGTGAGTTCAAGGCCAGCCTAGTCTACATAGTGAGTTCCAGGCCAGCTGGGGCTACTAGGAAACCCTGTCTCAAAAAAGACCAAAAAAAAGCAACACCCTTTAGAAGCAAGTTAAAAGCCGGGTATTCCTTCCTGCACACACCTGTAATCCCAGCATTTGGAGGCAGAGCCAAGGGGATTGTTGCAGGTCTTAGGCCAGCCAAGTCTACACAATGGGACCCTGTCTCAAAACAAAACAAGAAAGCCAGGTGTGAAGACACACCTGTAATCCCAGCCTTGGGAGTGGAAGCAGGAGGATCAAGCGTTCAAGACCAGCCTCAGCTACTGGAGACTGAAAGGGTGGTGGTGGGGATATCCTAAGTGCTTTAGATACACTCTGTAATGACTGAAAGGGAAACTCATGAACTGAACACAGCAGCTGGGAGAAAGAAGGTGGGAAGAGAAAATGAGGCATAGTCCCCAGAGAGGAAACTGAGGGTGGTTCCGGAAGAGATGGTGACTGGACTTCCTGGGGCTGAAGGCCGACTAGGATTCTCAGACAGGCAGCACAGGACTGCCTCTGAGTAGGAGGAAGCCGGTCACTCCCACCTGTCCTCTCAAGCTGCTTTTCTGATTGTTTTCTTTACTTAGCAACAATGTTTTCTTCCCACCAGCAGCCTGCAAGACTCTATTTTTGAGCAAGTTTGGCTGGTGTTTGCTGCTGGCTACCCAGGGTAGCAGCTTCCCACTTGGGAAGCAGCATCAGCAGGAGATGGGACGGATTTGGGCATTTCTCCTGTGTTTTACAGCAAATATGTGTGGTTATTTTCACATTCCTGCTTCTGAGCGCTCATGAGGAAACTATTGGAAGGATGTACCAGGCTGGCTGGGTACAGGTACACCCATCGTGAGACACTGAATCTGTAACGGGGTGCTCCCAATGGGCAATATCCACTGCAGCCAGTCTTTTCAAAGCTAGCATCAGACACCCTTGTAAGTTGGTGCCAGGGAAATACCAGTTCTATGTAATTCTGAAGTTAGCCTGGGCTCCCTCCGCTGGGGTACTCATTGTCATTGTACTCAGGTTTCACAACTCGGCCAGCCTTGCACTCTGACCAAGTCTGACTCAGTTCCCTCCCTAATCCTGAAGTGTGAATGGGTGACTTCCTCTGCCTGTCCCAGGCTGTCAGTAGGTAGATCTACACTGGGCTTTCAAAGCCCTTGCTCTTGGTGGGAGGCCCTCCACACTGTGTTTAGAGATATGTTTCCTGCTTTTTAGTAAGCCAGGTTGCCTTGCTGGGGGCCAAGGGTGCCCTCCTGCAGTGTAAATTCAGCCTGTGGGTACAGTCCCTGGCCAGTGCTCAGCCACTGCTCTGCATGCCCATTTTCCAGAAGGTACATACTGCAGAAGGGTTCCAAAGATTCTCTTCGTCCTTTGGTTAATTGAGATAGGATTTTGCTTTGTGGCCCAGGATGACCTAGAATGTTTGACCTAGCTGGGCCTTAAACTCATGACAACCCTCCTGCCTCAGCTTACCAAGCAGTGTGATTACAGGTGTATGCCACCATGCCTGACTCCAATGGCCTTTTTTGGTTATATGGGGAAATTGTACGTTTAATAAAAACTCTTACCACTCACTTTAGAAGTTTCTACCTGTTGGGAATGATAGACTTGTTTTCTGTAGCAGGTGGCCTGACAGGGACAGGCCCATCCTCCTGCCAGTTGTCAGTCAGGAAAGAGGGGTGGTCTCCTCAAAAAACTGGTGTGAGACTGTCTCACCATCAAGAGGTCCCTCAAGATGGGACAGCTGCAGGGCAGTACGGGTCTGTGCTCAGTTGTGGATACTCAGTTCTGGGGAGTCTCCCTTTGAGGGGTGGGTTCTTGGGACTCTGAGGGCAAAGGCCCTCCATGGCTTAAAATCATCATACCTTGCTGGGCGTGGTGGTGCACACCTGTAATCCCAGCACTTGGGAGGCAGAGGCAGGCGGATCTCTGTGAGTTCAAGGCCAGCCTGGTCTACATAGTGAGTTCTAGGACAGCTGGGGCTTTTTTTGTTGTTGTTGTCAAAAAGACAAAAAAAATCATCATACCTTGATCTCTCTCTCACACACACACACACACCCAGAGCTCTTGAAGCGTCTGGATGATGTGTCCAATGATGTGAGGATGGCGGCTGCTTCTGTCCTGCTCACCTGGCTGAAGTGCGTGCAAAGCTCCGATGGGAAGTCATCCTATCAGAGCAGTGTGCAATTCCTGTACCGGGAGCTGCTGGTCCACTTGGATGACCCCGAGTGCACCATCCAGGATGCTGTCCTAGGTGAGTACCCTAGGCTTGGCTGCCTCTGCATCCTGTTCTCTGAGAAGTTAGTTGAGAATGTACATGTCGGGGGGGGGGTGCCCATGCGCACGCACAAGTGCACGTGTGCTTATGTGGAGGCTAGGCCCCCAGTGTCAGCCTCTATCACTTCTTTTACATTTTTATTTTGTGTGCTTATGTGTATATGAATATGGATGTATGTGTGCCACAGCATATATGGAGGTCAGAGGAGGATCAGTGTTCTCTTTCTACCATCCATCCAGAGATCAAACTCAGGTTGTCAGGCTTGGCAATGGATACCTTTACCCATTAAGCCACCTTGCCAGCCTTCCACTTGGTAATATGCTCTATGACCTAATATCAACCAAAAGAGTAGAGAAAGTGATTTGAGTGTATTGCCTGCATGTATGTGAGTGCACCCATTTCATGCAATGCCACAGAGGTCAGAAGAGGGCTTCAGATTCCCCTGGAACTGGAGTTAAGGACAGTTTGTAGCCACCATGTGGGTGCTGGGAATCGAACCTGGGTCTTCTGCAAGAGCAGTCAGTGCTCTTAACCGCTGAGCCATCTCTCCAGCCCCGCCCCCTTTAGTTTTTTTAAGACATGATCTCTTTTGAATCCAGATCTTACCAATTCAGCTAGACGGGCTGGCCAGTGACCTCCAAGGATCCTCCTGTCTCCAGTACCCCAGCACAGGGATTATAGGTGCCCCACCACACCCAGCTTTTTGCGTGGATGCTAGAGATCTGAACTTAGTTCCTCATGCTTGTACAACAAGCACTTTACAGGCTGACCCATCTCCCCAACCCCTAGGAAGTTTTTAATAATTGTTATTTAAAATGACAACAGTAGCACTCAAGAGGGTGAGGTAGGAAGTGAATTCCTCTGAGTTTGGGGCCAGCCTGGTCTTCACAGTGAGTTCCAGGCCAGGCAGGACTATAGTTTCAGAAAAAAAAGTCAAGGGTGCTGGAGAGATGGCTCACCCTTCAGTTCCCAGCACCCACATTGGGTAGCTCACAACTACCTATAACTCCAGCTTCAGGAGCTCTGACTATCTCTGGCCTCCACAAGTCACCTGCCCTCAGGTACACAAACCACCCCTCAACACATACATCCATGATTTTTTTAAAATAATAATAAAAAGTATTTAAAAGAAGCTGGGGGTATAGCCCAACATGCTGGCATGCTGGGACCTTGGGTTCTGCCCCCAGCATCTCACTTTGTTGTCCGTCCTAGAGGTTAAACTAGCGACATCTTATATGCTAAGCCAGTGCTGTTCCACAGAGTCACATCCCCAGCTGCCTGCTACTTCACAAGAAAAAACACCAACACCTGTTAACGCTTGTCTCGTGGTTACAGAGGCAAAGGCAGCTTTTCTGTAATTCTGATTTTTTTTCCTTGACCATACACACTGTCATCCTTTTTTGACTGATGGGCACACTTCGTCTTTGTGAAGTGCCCGTGGCCTTACAACAGAGCAGTTTTTATTTCTCAGCTGTTCTTCCCAGCAAAGTGAAGTCCTAGGGAGAGGCCATCTGGTCACCATCCAGCCCAGTCACACTGCTGTTGCCCTAGGCTGCTGTCTTCCCGTTTGCCACATGGAGCATTAGGTCAGCTGCTTGACAGTAGGCCCAGAGCCACAGGGTGGCCCGATGCCACTGCCCTCGTCCCACTGTCATTTAAAAAAAAAAAAAAAAGCAGACACTAGACTCTGGTGCTTCCAAATAGCTATTCCAGTGCCCCTCAAGGCCCCAAGGGCATGTAAGACCCTCACACCCCCACATTCTGCCCATAGCTCCAGGAAGGCCATTTGCAGTTCTGCCCAACAGCTGGTGGTACCCTAACAGAAGCTTCTAGGGTTGAGCCATCAGCATGGTGATGAGGTGGGATCTGAGCTCACTGCTGCTGGGTTCACGGGTTCTCACTGTCTTCCAGAAGTCCTCAAGGAGGGCAGTGTCCTGTTCCCAGATGTTCTAGTGCGGGAGACAGAAGCCGTGGTCCACAAACACCGCTCAGCCACCTACTGCGAGCAGCTCCTGCAGCACATGCAGGCGACAGCCATTGCACAGTGACCGTGTGTGGCAGCCATTCCTGCCACTGCACCCTCTGAAGTGCCTGAAGACCTCGTGTGAAGACTGTGACCACAGCCCCCAGTGTCACGATGTTCCCAGGACCCTGCTGCCCACTAGACAGCACTTGGAATCAGCAGCTCTTACCCTAAACAGGTTCTGCAATTTTATGCCATACCTACAAGTCCACACAGAGGCCCCCCAAAATCTACAGCCAAGCTGAAATTAAAGCTAAGTGTCCCCCACCCATCCTGGCTGTCCAGTCAGCTGCCTAAGTACCAGTTTTTTAGGCTCCTTTACAAGCCCTACGTGGTCCTGGCCTTCTTCCATGTCCACCGAGAATGCTCTGAACAACTTAGCAAGAAAGCCAAGGGCTTTATTAAAAGAAACCTCATCGTCCTTTGGATCCAGGCCAAAGGGAATTTTCAATGTTAATAATGAAGTTTCTCCCATTTTGAAATACACTGGAACTCACTGCCACGTGAGTGCATACCAGCACAGCATCTCTCTTGACTCAGTGATGCTGATGGTTGGTGTGAGGCCAGACTAGCAGCAGTTAGTAAAATAATCATTTGCCAGTGCACCTTCCACACCAAGTGCCTAGAAGATTTTTAAGTGGTATTATTGTCAGCCAGTATTTTTGTTAAGGGAAAAAGTTGTATGTATTTTCCAGCAAACATTAACATTTCTGCTTTGCAGTCTGTGAAATTATTTATTGTAGTTATTTTGCATAGCCGTCTGTGAGGGTTTGACCGATGACCCGACATTTCTGCAAACAGCTCCACTAGTCTCAGGTGGCCATGGGCTTCATGGGCCCCTCTGGGTGTCTGCCACTGCTACCTGTCATGTACATTCTGATACCAGGTGACTGGAGCTGCAGACAAGACAACCCCCAGCAGGGCATTCCAGCATGGCCCTACATGGGGCTGGGCATCCATGTGGAGGGAGGTTGGCTTCAGGGTGACTGACCCTCCACCATTGCCCATGACCACAACCCTGAGGCTGCATCTGCTGCCCACCTCCACCCCTCTCCCTTCACTCAGGTGGGGGCCTGACTGGTGCCCTCTTTGCTGTGTCTTCTGCCACTTCTGGGGGTGGGGGCTCAAGATCTCCCCCTATCCCTAACTGAACCAGCCTCAGCTTCACCTGGACACTTGTTAGCAATGCAGGTGTCAGGCCCCAGCCAGATCTATCAGAAGCAGTAGGCTTTCTTTTAAAAAGTATATTTACCTTTTGATTTTAAATATTTATTACATATTTTTGGGGGGAGGATGCATGTACTTACAGCATGCATATGGGGATCAGAGGACAACTTGCAGGAATGGGTCCAAAGGATTGAATTTAGGTCAACAGGTTTGGGAGCAAGCACTTTTACTCCCGCTGAGCCAACTTACTGGCCCAACCAATAGACATTTTTAATAAAAATATATTTATGGGGGTGAGGGGGTTGGAGAGATGGCTCAGCCATTAAGAGCACTGGCTGTTCTTGCAGGGGACCCAGATTCCATTCCCAGAACCCACATGACGGCTAACAACCATCCATAACTCCAGCTCCAGTGGAATCCAACACCCTCTTCAGATGTGGCATTGTACAACATGGATGCGCTTGCATTCATGCAGGGAATGCACTCAAACACACAATATGTGTATAGTGTATGTATTGTTGTTAGCCACCATATGGGTGCTGGGAATTGAACCCAGGTCCCTTTCGAGAGCAGCCAGTGCTCTTAGCCACTGAGCCATCTCTCCAACCCAAAGCCATCTCTCCACACCCAGCAATAGGCAATTTATTTATTGTGTATTACTAGATATTGTATACTTTACCACTGAGCCATGCTCCCAGTCCCTCACTGGGGGATTCTAGGCAGATGCTCTACCACTGAGCAATGCCTCCAGCCCCTCACTGGGGGATTCTAGGTAGGTGCTCTACCACAGAGTTATGCCCCCAGCCTCTCACTGGAGGATTCTAGGCAGGCACTCTACCACTGGGCCACACCCCAACTCTTCACTGGGGGATTCTAGGCAGGCAGTATAATGCTGAGCCATTCCACCAGCTCAGTAGTCTGCTAAGGGGCACAGTACTTTATACTTCATGGTTTTCAGGTCTGTTGCAAGCACTCGTCTCTACTGCTTCCTGTTCAGCTGTTTCTGGGGACCCACCTGTACACTGGAGCTCTTGGTGTGGGTATGTTTTCATGCTCAGAACAGAATGTCTGGGTCAAATCTGGGAAGTTAGCCCCAGAGTGATTGGTTGGTTAGTTGATATTTTTAGCTGCTTTATTGACTTGCAGTTAGTGGCACAGGTTTAAAGTTGGGCAGTTGGGCAAATACATCACACACCTACGAAGCTACCTTCTGCACCAAGCCGCAAACCTCTGCACCAGGTATTTGTGGTCCCACCCTCCCTGGGCTCCTACCCACCCCTACCTCTACATCACACCATCTGCTCTTAGCCATTTACTACACAATCATACTCATACTCACCTGCTTCTGCCTCTTGAGTGCTGTGCTGGGATTAGCATATGCCACCATGCATGGCCTAATCATCCCTCCCCCTTTTAGTTTATTTTTATTTTATGTGTATAAATGTTTTATTTACATGTATGTAAGTGCAGTGTCTGTGGAGGCCAGAAAAGAGCATCGGATCCTTTGTAACTGGAGTTACGGCTTTTTGCCACCATGTGGCTGCTGGGAAACATGCCCACAGTGCAAGAGTAGGTAGTACTCTTAACCCCTGAGCATCTCTCCAGCCCCCATTTTTTGTTTTCCAGAGTTTTTGTTTGTTTGTTTTATGTGCATGAGTGTATTGCCTGCATGTGTGTAAGTGCACCCATGTTGTGCAGTGCCCACAGAGGTCAGAAGAGGGCATTGGATTACCCTGGAACTGGACTTATGGATGGTTGTTAGCTGCCATGTGGGTGCTAGGAATTGAACCCAGGTCTTCTGGAAGAGCAGCCAGTGCTCTTAACTGCTGAGCCATCTCTCCAGCCCTGTTTTCCATGTTTTTTTGAGGCAGGGTCTCACTATGTAGCCCTGGCTGACCTAGAACTCTCTATGTAGACCAGGTTTGTCTCTGCGCCTCTAGTGCTGGGATTAAAGGTATGCGCCACCACACCTGGCTAGATTTTTTTCTGATTATATATATATGGGTAGGGGTTGTTTGTGCATTTGCCCAACAGAGGACATCAGATTATCAGATCTCCCTGGGGCTGCAGTTACCGGCATTTGTGAGCCACCATGTGGGTGCTGGGAACCGAACTTGGGTCCTCTGCAAGAGCGGTAAGTGCTCTTAACCTCTGAGTCATCTCTCTAGTGCCCCACCCCCATTCTGATTATTTTAAGTTACGTGTAGCCAGTGTGGCACAGGCCTGTAATCCCAGCCCTTAGAGGCAGAGGCATGCAGATCAGAAGCTCAAGGTTATCAGCTGTGTAGCAACTTGGAAGTCATCCAAGATTACATGAGATCTGTCTCAAAAACAAACATTTTCCAAGAAGTCTCATTCCTGGTGTGGTGGCACACACATTTAAACCCAGCACTTGGGAGGCAGAGGCAGGCAGATCTCTGTGACTTCAAGATCAGCCTGGTCTGCATAGCAAGTTCCATGCCAGCTGGGACTACAGGGAGACTCTGTCTCAAAAAAAACACCCCCCCACAAGAAAAAAATTTCATATAAATGGATGGGCATGATGACTCAACACCTGTCATCCCAGCACTCAGGGGGCTAAGTCAGGAAGACTGCAGCCTGGGCTACACAGAGTGAGATTCTATCTCTAAAGAACAGGGTCTTCCTGTGGCCCCAGCTGGCCTAGAACTCGCTTTGTAGACCAGACTGGCCTCAATCTCACAAAGACCCACCTGTCTCTGCCTCCCAGGTGCTGTTTTTTGACCCTTTGTCAAAAAACGAGTTGAATAGCTCCTGAGGAACAACATCCAACTTGGCCTTGGGCCTCTGCTCGTGCATGAGTGAGTGCACAATTGTGTCCACACACAAAGGAATTACTTTAAATGGATTTATGTGATTTTTGTTTTGCTTCTTCAGTTAGCTGAATTGAGATCCATCCACGTTGTGATGTCCATCAGTAGTTCCTTCAAAACCAGCCATGATGGTGCCACACATGTAATCCCAACACCTAGGAGGCTGGGACAGGAGGATTGCAAATGTGAGGCCTGCCTGAGCAATTTAGTGAGACTCTGTCTCCAAACACACAGGGCCTGGAGAGATGGCTCAGTCATTAAGATCACTGGCTGCTCTTGTAGAGGACCCAGATTTGGTTCTCAGCACCCATGTGGCAGCTCACAACTGTCCATAATGCTAGTTCCAAGGGATCCAACGCCCTCTTTCGACCTCTGTAGGCACTTACACACAAATCGTACACTTAGATACATGCGGGCAAATACTTGTGCACATAAAATAAAAATAAATCCTTAAAAAATTAAAAATAAATTGATTAAAAGGGGGACTAGAGAGGTGACTCAGCTGCTAAGAGCACTGGTCTTTGCAGAGGACCCAGGTTCAGTTTCCAGCACCCACATGGGGGCTCAGCCATCTGTTAACTCCAGTTCCAGGGAATCCAGTGCCGCCTTCTGGCCTCTGCAGGCACTTGTATGCACATGGTACATATACATACATGCAGGCAAACACTCATACATGTAAAATTAAAATCTTTTAATACAAAACCAAAAGTATTTTTTTATTATTTTTTTATTTTATGTGTATACATGTATTGCCTGCATGTAGGTAAGTGCACCTGTGTCGCGCAATGCCCACAGAGGACAGAAGAGGCTGTCAGATCCCCTGGAACTGGAGTTATGGACAGTTGTTAGCTGCCATGTGGGTGCTGGGATTCAAACCCGGGTCTTTTGCAAGAACAACCAGTGTTCTTAACTGCTGAGCCATCTCTCCAGCCCCCAGACCAAAAATTTTAAAGTGTGACTGGAGAGATGGCCTGGTGGCTAAGAGCACTGGCTGCTCTTGCAGAGGACCCAGGTTCAGTTCCCAGCACCCACTTGGCAGCTAACAACCATCTGTAACTCAGGTTCCAGGGTATCCAACTCACTCTTCTTGCCTCCATAGGCATTGTATACACACGGTGCACTTGCATGCATGCAGGCAAAACACTCATACACATAAATATAAATAAATAAAAAAGAACATGCAGATCTCTGTGAGTTTGAGACCAGCCTGGTCTACATAGTGAGTTCAGGCCAGTCAGTGCTACATAGAAGATAAATCCAGGTTCAGGGGAAGGAAGTGGCTGTGTGGCCCCTGCCGAGATTGGGCTCAGTGAAGGAGCTGAGTCAGGAGACCTTTTGCAACATTTATGGTGTGTGTCATAGCACAAGTGTGGAGGTCAGAGGACAACCCACGTGATTTGGTTACTCTCCTTCCACCATGTCAGTCTCAGGTATTGAACTCAGGTTGTCAGGCATGGAAGCAGGCTCCTTTACCCACTGAGCCATCTCTCCAGCCCATCATACAGATGGGAGGTTTTAATAACTGTCAAGAAGTTCAAACCATAGAACCCACATAGCCTGGATAGAATCTTCCAGCCTCCAATTCTGAGAGCTGAGCCTTAACTTCTGCCTTCCTTTCCATGGTCTGAGCCCAAAGCTTCCAGTTCAGTAGGTCTCAGGTGGAATTTGCATTTCAACAAATTCTTAGGCAATGATGCTTATGTGGGAACCACATTGTAAGAG